TTGTATTCTGACAAATAAGGAGGAGAATCGAAGCCACGTTGAAACTCAGGCTTCAGCAGCACATTTGGCAGTGGATATACAGTAGCTCATTATTCTATAAAAACCCTTATACGATAGTATTGGATGAATTTCCAATCAGAAGGCACATTGCATATGATCAACCAAAGCAAAACTATCCGTGCGCACCGCAAATAGAATCGAAATAAAATTCCAATCCAATTTAAACCTTGGCGCTTGAAACAGATCAAAACTATGATGTAGAGGATAATGTCTGATTCAAAAGTGAATAGTATAACCTTTTTATTCCAAACATGACAACTAACATGGCAACTCAAAAGTAAGCTAGAAATAGTCTCATCATGAAGATTACACAAAGGACAATGGGACTTTCCCAAGGCATAAAACGATGAAGTCCACATTTAAAATTTGAACTTTAAGTACCTTAGTTGTTGTTCTTTATTCCAAGCAAGTAACATTACAGATAAATTAAATAGATAAAAAAGCAATTGAGTACAAACGATAATCTACATAAAGAGGAGAGGAGGGTTTGAACACTGGATGTAGCGGGTCAAAGAGGAATGCTTGAGTCACTGGCGCAATCCACCGCTTATAGATAAAAAACAACATATAAGAGAATTTAAGGTACTCCAAACTGTCTTCCTAAGTGACAATAAAACACTTCAGCAGTGATATATGGTTCCAGTCACTTGATATGCTCCAAGAACCACCCCAACAAGTCTTGATGAGCCTCCTCAGCTGCCTTGACAGCCGCCTCGTCTTCATCGTTGTACCTCAACGTCCACCCGTGTGCGATCTTCGGGAATATCTTCACATGGCTTTTAATCTGTGATTCCATTACGCAGACAGTCACTTATAAGGAATGTGCATTGATCACAATCAAAATCATTGAAGGACATTCCTACCTCAGGTTTTGCAGTTAAAACCTCTTCAAATTGTTTGACGACTTCAGGTGGAGTCAGCTGATCAATCTCAGCTCCAAGTACAGAAATCGGAACCTTAACCGCTGAAAGTAATACCGGCCGGGAACAGATCAATAATCAACACACAAAACTTTTGTTCTTTCTTGAAAGAATTGTAATACCACATTTTGTTTCTTTTTGCAGCCATGAGCAGATGTGGCGGTCAGGGCTGCGCAGCCATCGCGCAACACAGGTTTGTTATCGTTTTCAAATTTTGCTGGTAGGAATAGAGAGAAGTGGGAGCGGAGAAACATTTTGGCTGTAAATACAGAAATCTTACCCTTGATATCATCCAGAGTGACAAATGAAGGATGACACAGAACCGCGGCTTGGATAAAGTCATGCTTCGCAAGTTCAACGACACCCTTGCCTAAAAACAGCACAAATAATTCAATGTCATATGAAACGACCTATATGCCATAACGAACTGAGCAGGAAAATAAGCACCTCCTCCTACGAGACATTGTTAAACTGGAATAGCACTAATAAACCAGGAAATAGATATACATAACGGAGAGCAGGAAAATGAACTCACCGCCCCAACAGAAGCCTACAGCACCAATTGCAGAAACACCTTGACTTTTTAAAGCTTCAATTACCAGTTTTGCATCTTCGATTGTTTTGTCCTGTAGATACGAAAACAAGAGCTCATAACCTCAGTTTTAGCGGCACTTGTATGCTCGACAATTCCATATCAACTTTTAAAACACCACTATATAAGGTCCTTGTATTTTTTGTCACAATAGTCTCAATAGGTGGAAACATCCTTAGAGTTCAAGACCATATGAAGCTCAAAACAACAACAATACTGGGATGCTAAGCTGAAATGAAAATGTCTCCCAAGTTCTACATAAAATTCACGAATCACACACAGATACTTGTGAGAGTACTTAAATTACAGATAAACAAAATACTTAGAGATATGCATCAAAACAAAAGAACCAACCGGTGCGTGAGCTTTTATCCAAACCGGTATAGAGGCAAGGTCCCCATTAAAAGGGTCTCGATTGAAGAAGTCTGGGAGCACAACAATGAACCCAGCAGCTGCAATTTTGTCTGCAAGCATCCTTTACAAGAGACCGGTGGCATTAGTTAAAGGGTATAGGGCACTTTACAATCTTGCAAACTTAATAGTGATTCAGGTAAATATCACAACTGTTTCTTCAAACAAAAAAATTCTGATGTTGGAAACTAGAAGGACCAACTATCCATTGTTATTGTAAAGAGTTGACACACAAAATACAGGTGTGGAACTTTTAAGCGTAATGAGAGGGCATTAGAGAAAAGTGTGAAGTTCGACAGGTATATGGTAAACAACCTGATTCTGAACTATTCTTCAAAACTAGTGATTCTCTTTACATAGACCTATCATAACCATTTTTTCCTCAAGGATTGTACTTCTGAGTAAATAATTTCAGAAAGTTCACCAAGTCATCAAATTTAATCAGAAAATGTGATTTAAAATCCAAGAAAAGCGATCGATTTCTGAGAACTCATCTATCAAATGTGGGAATCGGTCATACCTAGCCTTTGGAGCTTCATATCCTGCATGGCAAAAACATGTAACATTAACAAGTGGTTTGGTGATAGAACATCACAGAAAGCAACTATACAGTAGAGAGAGAGACAGATGGTTTGAATGATCGAAAATCAATTACGCTATTCGAATTCCCAATTGGAAGCAAACGGGAAAAGAAAGAACAACAATCATGCAAAAACAGAAGAAAGAAAAAACAGAAAATGGGGAACAAGTAAATAGTTGCTCAGTTAATCAAACATATGCACAGCACCCACAAAGCCAAAAGGAAAAGGAAGATGTCAGAACTGATTGCTTCATCAATTAATCAAACATATGCAACAGTGTCAAAGATTTCAGAAATACAGGCCGGCTTTCCACTACAAGACCTCGATATAAGTTATAATTTGTCAATTTTCCGATATGGAGATTCTTGCACCCATAAATTTACACAAGCTAAAAACCAGTACCCATTAAGCTAAAAACACACACAGACAACTCAAACCCACAAACCCAAATCACAAACTGAACAAAAAATGCAAGCTTTTGAAACAAGCAAGAAAAAAAGAAAGACTTTTGGAGTGGTGGGTAAAGTACCAAAAGCGTCATGGACGAGAAGAACGGCAAGCTTAGAGTCAGGGGAGCCAGTGACATAGGAATCGAAACCGCCGAGCTTTTCGACGTGGCCGGAGCCGCTGGACGGGTTCAGGGCTGGTGGGTTTGAGCAGCACTCAGAGCTTGCCATGATTTCTTTCTTCTTTTTTTCCTCTGAATTCACAAACACAAACACTCTTTGTCAGTGTCTGATTGAGCTAGAACAGCAGAGGCTATATTTATAAAGGGGAAATCATTCTCCGGCCAATGCAAAATATGGAAGTTTGCAAATGGTCAACAAATATATCAGAATTTGATATTTTGGTGGCAAATTGAAAAGTCAATGCTTTGAGATATGAGCTTGGTCGTTGTTTGCTGAATTATTTACTTTTGAAATGACGGGATGAATGACGTAGGCCTAATGCGAAAAGTTTGAGGAGAAATAGTATTAGCCGCAGTCCAATATTCCAATACTCTGGCACTCCAAACCAAACCAGTACACCACGTTGGTCATTTGTGAAAGTGAAAGTATGTTATGGTTCAAAACTTCAAAGTAAATTACAGTTGTGCATGTTGATTAGTTACATACACTCCCCAACTATTCGGAAAAGACTGTATTGTGCATATCGATTAGTTACTCACACTATACAACTACCCAAAAATGACTGTATTAGAGAGAGAAAACCGCTTGATGTGTAGTTCCGTTCAATTTAGAATACAAAAGATTTTATTTTTTATTTTTTATGATGCACTAATCAACTTGATCAAACATATTAGCATGATTTATACCACTCACCAAATGGCAACCTAAAAGCACCACATTGTTGTCAAACCTCTACTCTTCCAAGCAACAAATTTTACATACAAATATTGGTACCATAAAAGTGCAGGCATTCTTCTGATTCATAGTAAATAGAATGTAGTTGATATGATAAGGTTCAAATTAATCTCGTCCTTTAGTGACGATAAAACGCTTCACAGTGATGACGATACCATTCACTTAACATGGTTTTAGAACCACTCCAACAAGTCTTGATTAGCCTCCTCGGCAACCTTACAATCTGCTTCATCATCACGTCTTACCTCCGGTTCCACTTCCGGGAAAATCTTCACAAGGCTTTTAATCTGTGATTCCATAAAACCAACAGTCGTTCCAAATGCATAACGCGAAACATTGAAGAAACATAGCGGCATTAAGAAGGTAGAATATCTAAGCATGTCTATGGCACCTGAAGAATAATTTGTGTGCAATGCAGAAAGGCACTGACTCCAATGATGTGTGCTGGAAGCGTGTTCGAGCTTTGAGACAACAACTTGCTGCTGTTGGTGAAACAATTTCCGATCAAGACACGGTCATCGTCATTAATTTTAAAAGGGTTGGCTATTGAATATAACTTCTTCCAATCTTACATTCGTGCAAGACCAATTTGTATCGCTCTTATTGAGGTGAAAGATTTATTACTTGAAGAAGAAATTGATCCTGACACTGCTTCTATGTTCACTGCTATGATGACTCAGAAATCTGCTTGTCCAAATGTTAAGGATAATACTTCTGGTTCGCAACTTTCTGGTTTCTCGCACGGTTGTGGTCATTTGAATCGGAATTGGGGTTCAAACTGGAATGTGAACGTGGACGTGGTCATTTGAATCGTGGATGAGGATGGAGAGAGAGAGGATGGAAGGGGAAACGACGAAGAATGCAGGAAACCAAAACTAGGAAAGAACAACCAAATTTGAGCTCTCTTCCGTGCACATTTCTTCCAGTTCCACCAACATTCGTTTACCTCTGCTCATCCCTCTTTTCTCCTTTGTATTTCCCCTCGTTCCTAACAAAAAAGTGAAAACTACAACGAAAACCAAAATGGTTATCAAGTATCGGAAACAAAATTATGAGGTTTATAAAACTCTCATTAACCCATAGGGCATCTCCAACTAGTACTTTATTTATATGACACCAAAATGGTGTTGTGAGTTCTTCCGGGTTACACGGAGGAGGCTGGTCGAAGACCGGCAGTTCAAACTACGAAAGTTTTGCAAACAAATACTAGTACATAAAACTCCGGAGGCATTGTTTAATAAAACTCCAGAGGAATTGTTTTACCACTGGCTACCAATAGAAAGCAGCTGATAAGATAAGGAAAACCGCTACAGTGCTGATGCCAGTCACTTGACATGGTTCAAGAACCACTCCAACAAGTCTTGATGAGCCTCCTCGGCAGCTTTACAAGCTGCTTTGTCTTCAACATTGTACCTCACCGTCCACCCATGTGCCACTTTCGGGAATATCTTAACGTGGCTCTTAACCTGTGATTCCGCAAAACCAACAATCGTTTCAACAAACTTCAAAAGTTTAGTGCTAGAAGCTACCGCAGTGGTGAACCCTAATGTGAAGGGGGTGTTTCTGGTGTTGTCCTATCATTTCTTCAAAAAGAACAAAAATAAAATGTTTTGGAAGTTCATACAAAATGGTGTATGACCCTGATTGGAAATTAAATTAGAAGCTAAGCGTAGCATATAAGCTCTCTGGCACCCTTCCCTTACAAGTCGTTTTTGTAAGGGCAGGTTACCTATAACTGTAAGTCATGCACAATTATATTTCACAATATGATAGACAAAGTTCGCCAGGCATCTCAAGTTGAGGAATGTCCGTGATACGAATAAACAAACTAACAAAGGCACAAAGTATTGAAGGCTGTTCAGATGAACGATATTCCTACCTCAGGTTTTGCAGTTAAAACCTCTTCAAACTGCTTCACGACTTCAGGCGGACACATCTGATCAATCTCAGCTCCAAGTATAGAAATAGGAACCTTAACCTCTGAAAGTAATAACAGGAATAGATCATGAAGTGAGTGTGCGAGTAATTTTTTGTGCCAATAATGGTGTCTTAAAGAGATATTTCCTGAATATTAATACCGATATCTTACCCTTGAAATCATCCACTGTGACTACTGCAGGATGACAGAGAACAGCAGCTTGAATTAACGGGAGCTTTGCAAGTTCAACCACAACCTTGGCTGAAAACAGCGCAAATAGTTCAATGTCGACCAAACAAGAGTGATAAGTAAAACATCGCCTAACATTATCCAAATGTCTAAATGAGAAACTTTTTTGTTGCTATATTTCAGTGCAACAAAAATGAAACAGAGCAACAAAGATGTTAACGAGAAAGGAAAGTGAATTCACCTCCCCAACAGAAGCCTGCAGCACCGATTGCAGAAGCACCTTTACTTTTTAAAGCTTCAAGAACTGGCTTTGCAGCCTCAAATCCCTTGTCCTATCAATCCCAAAACAAGATTCAGAAGCTAACAATACTTGAACATATCGAAATTGCAGAAAAATTTTGATAGCACCCCAATGCCAGGGACTCGTAATTTAACCATTGTCACAAAAGGTGGAATCAGCCTAGTAGTGAACAACCGTAAAAAGTTTTAACACAACAACAGTCATGGGACTGCCCAGCTGAACCCACTCACATAAGCATCTAAAATTGCATAGAGAGAGTTGTAAAAGTACTTCGATCGTTAAAGAAACAAAACAGATATGCATAAAAGTAGACATAATAGCAAAAGAGCCAACCGGATGATGATCAATTTTCCAAACATCAAATGGTCTATTGGCATCGTCAGGTGCATAAGGGTCTTTGTCAAAGAAGTCGGGGACCACAACGAAGAACCCAGCAGCTGCTACTTTGTCAGCAAGCTTCCTTCACAATGGAAGGCAGGTGGCATTAGTTAAAGGGTACACGATATTATGGAAACAACGACCTATACAGTGATATTCAACACTGTTGTTCTGTGATGAAAATATCTGATATCGGTAACTGTAACTGGCAAGTGAAGTTTTATCCTTATAAAGATTATAGAGACAAACTAAATTGCTCATCCAATTCAGCAAGTGTAACTGATGAGCCCGAGTCAATATCCGAAAGCGAAAAGTCATCATACCTCAATTTTGGAGCTTCAAATCCTGAATGACAAAGCAAACATTCAACATGACAAAGCAGTAATACAAAACACACACTTTCTTCACAGAATTGAACATCACATAAGCTACAATATCAAGACGTTACCATGAATGTCAGAGACGAGGAGAACGGCAAGGTTGGAGTGAGGCGAGCCAGTGACATAGGAGTCGAGACCGCCGAGGTTTTCGACATGGCCGGTGCCGCTGGAGGGGTTCAGGGTCGGAGGGTTTGAGCAGCACTGAGAGCTTGCCATGATCTCTGAATTCACACTCTTTGTTGGTGTTTGATTGAGCTACTACTAATACACTAGTAGTACGGTACTACCCCATAATATTAATATGTCAACCACTTTTTAGGGTTGAATTTATGATTTGTTTTGAAATGACGGGATGAATGCGTAAGCCTGATGCGAAAATCAAAGACTCCAAGACTGGTACTCCAAACCCAGCAAGTGAAAGTACGTTATGTGAGTTGAGCGAACAGTCAACTGACTTGTAGTGTGCAACTGTGCATGTCCATCAGATAGTCATATCTAATAATTGTTCAGATAACTGTATTGGAGGAGATGGTATTTATAATATTCACAAAATTATCGATATTTTTGTTGAAATATGTAAAAAATCAAATATCGATATGGAAAGAGATGAAATGCAAACTTTACTTTGTATTGACGAGATATACAAAAATCAATAAAAATTGACGATATTTACCAATTTATTACAAAAGTTTTGTTGAAACCCATTGCAGATTTTGAACTTTTACAAAAAAAAATTGAGAATTTTTTATCTAATTTCGACTAACTTTGAATGAATTGATATACGCCCCCGTTGCAACTTTCTATAATTTATGTCGAAGACAACTAATATTTCTATAATTTGCATATCGACATTTCCACCTACATCGGTATTCTAAATACTGATTGGAGAAAAACGCTTAATGTGTGGTTCTGTTCAGATGATTGGATTTGAATAACCAAAAAAGTTTTTTTTTTGGTAATACCATCCACACACTCATTTTCACTTCTTACAAGACTCCTCTTAATTTTTGGTCATTAGATCGAATAAATTGAAGAAGATCAATGACAAAAACTTAACAATAATGTGTGAAAAGTAAAAAAAAAAAAAGTGTGAATAACACTCTTTTTCTTTTATGATGCACCACTCAAATTCATCAAACTTATTAGCATGAATTATACCACTCACCAAATGCCAAACCTAAAAGCACCCACTTTTCCAAGCAACAAATTTTACATACAAATAATGGTACCATAAAATAGTAGACATTATTCTTATTCATAGTAAGAGCACTTCCACCCCTAAAAAGCCTCCTGAGCAATAGTGGACATTATTCTTATTAATCCCCCAATTGAACCTGTTCAAATACATCTCCATCCTAAATTGAATAGCCAAGAAATTTGTATTAAAATATTATTAATATTTTTTGATAAATAATAAAAAAATCATTTATTTTAATTTCAGATAGGATTTTAACCAAACTCGTCACTCCATGTGTTTTTATCCGAAAGTACAATTTTTATAGATAGATTTTCGAATAGATTTTTAACCAATTTCGTAGTGCCAAGTGTCATGATTTTGTAAGAATTTTGTGAATAAATTTCCATTAAGATTTTTAACCAATCACATTGTGTCACTTGTCACTATCCGTTTAGAATCTTTGAAAATAGATTTCAATAAGATTTTTAATCAATCATGGCGTGCCACGTGGCAAGCAATGAGATTGTTTGATCTCGACGAGGGTGAAAATGCGTTGTTTGAAATAGAAGAGAAAGAGGATGAAGAACGTAGAAGTGAGAGAGCCTCACATTCCCGTCGTGTCATGCAAGTTGTGGGTGAGATCCCCAAACCCAGGCGTTCCGCAAACCTCAATAGAAAGACGGAACATCGAGGTAAGGACCTTTTAAACAATTATTTTATCCTAAACAATGCATACCCTAATGCGTATTTTAGACGTCGTTTTAGAATGCAATGAAGTTTGTTAACAAAATCATGATTGCTGTTTGCAGCCATGATCTATATTTTGTGTAAAAGAAGAATGCTTTTCATGTTATGAGCCTCATTCTTGGGCAAAAAATTACTATTGCAAAAGAAGGATTTTTATTTTTTTTATTTTATATTTTTATGTATTATTTTAATAATTTTTTATTAACTTAATTAATTTGGACCGTTGGATTATAAAAAAAATTAAAATCCAACAGGTCATACTTTGACACATGGCCAATGGTAACATTTCTGATTTTTTTTTCCATATTTTTTGTTTTTCGTTTTTTTAAGCCAGAAAACCTAGACCGTTGATTGGAAATCAAACGGTCTAGATTGTGCCATGTCATCTAGCTGTTGGGGTTAGATTTCAATTTTTTTTACCATTGAAAATCCAACAACCTAGAAAAATAGCTATTGGAAATCCAATGGCCTAGCATGTGCCAAGTCACCCTTTATCCGAACTCATTAATGCGCTTGTACGCGAGTCTCATGCATTGTAGTGGTGTCGGAGACGCGCGCCAACTCGTGGGTGTTTTCTACGCGCCTGGTGCAAATTTTTTTTTTCTAACATGGTTGACATCAGCCTTATGTCAAATGGCCTAGGAGATGGGCTTGTTGATTTCTGCCTAGGTGAACAATTAGGCTCCCTTGGAGCTTAGTGGATTACAAAGGGCTGGAGGAGCTTTGGGGGTGGGGAGTGGATTTTATCCACTATCTCCTAGGGAATTTTATAGGGTTGGAAGTGCTCTAAATAGAATACAATTGATACGATAAGGTTTAAATTATTTTCTTCTTTCCTTGACAATAAGATGCTTCATAATGATGACGATACCATTCACTTGACATCGTTCAAGAACCGTTCTAACAAATCTTACCTCGTGGCCCACCGACTCCACCCGTGTTCCACTTTCGGGAAAATCTCCACACGTCTTTTAATCTATGATTCCTTATAACCAATAGTCATATTCTAATGGCTTTTTAGCCAAAATGGTCTATGAGATTTACATAACTCCTTATTTTGGTCTATGAGATTTGAAATTAATAGAAGTGGTTCCTGAGTTTGTCTACCATCAATCATTTTGGTCATTCCTTGAAAAAAATTCATTACATAAGGATAAAATGACAAAAATACCTGTAATTTTTGTTAAATGATTTTGGTCCATTGTTTATTAAATTAAGGATATTTTTGTCATTTGGTCCTTATTTAACATAATTTTTCAAGGAATAATCAAAATGATTGATGGTGGACAAACTTATGGACCATTTCTATTGATTTTAAATCTCAGAGACTAAAATAAGGAGTTATGTAAATCTCAAGGACCATTTTGGCTAAAAAGCCATTAGAATATGACTATTGGTTATAAGGAATCGCAGATTAAAAGACGTGTGGAGAATTTCCCGAAAGTGGAACATGGGTTGAGTCGGTGGGCCACGAGGTAAGATTTGTTAGAATGGTTCTTGAATGATGTCAAGTGAATGGTTGATGCAAGAGGATCAAAGCTCAAGTATCCAAGTGGAAAATCATCCTCTAACAAAATCACATCAACAACTTGGGCCAGAACTAAGAACATACTTTGGAAGAAAGAGGCAATTTCTATAAAAGGACAGTGAAGAGATTAAAGAAATGACACTTAACCCAACATACAAAATGACTTCTAAAATCTCTGCAATGTACTTTTCACATATTCCTTTTGTGGTTCAAACATTCCCTTGTATTTACAGCTCTGCTACTTCTTTGTTGTATCGATATCCTGTATTAAATTTTACTTCTCAAAACGCTCCATGTACTCGGCAGAACTTATCCGAATAGGTTGAAACTTTGCCTAATCGCTTGTATTTATCATTTACTTTCAAGTTATTACTTTTCATTCAATTTATTGTCATTTTGGCTAACACTTTACGAGAATTTACAAGCTCTTTACTTTCAACTTTTTACTTATCTTTGCTTCACTTTGCTTTATCTCCTTAATCTTTCACAAAGATTGCAAACTGGCTTGGATCGTTTCTGATTAGTTTGCGATCATTGTTTTGGCATTCAACAAAAGAAAAATATAAAGTCCTTGTCTTCAAGGCATGGAAAAGAACCTAATATGAATTTAACCCCTCCATTAAACAATCTTTTCTAAGAGGCTCAGTTTACTTGCGGATCAACAAATGACCTATAAACATCTAAACTAATTAAACAACCTGTTGGACTTGACTAGTAATGGCACGCTTGACAATAACTAACTTTGCAAGAAAACCTAAGAGCCTATTCAAGGTTTTGTCAAGACACCTTCAATTAACTCAGTGTTTACCACCCGCGGGAAGAGTGTGGGGATCTTGCACCCCAACAAGAGTGTTTCCATGAAGGATATTTCCTATCCAACAGGGTCTTCTCCGGATCCTTTTGGTGAGGATCCTGAGGATCTGTGAATTGTGTCTGTTCATCGTATATCGTGCAGTCAGTTTTTGTTAAGTACTGTTTATGTTTATGTTTATTTTTAAATAAAAAGATTTAAAATGATTTTTGACCGCACTATATACAATGAATGGACACAATTTACGGATTCTCGGGATCCTCACAAAGAGGATCCGACAAGGATCCAGACTTATTTCCTACCTCATATTTTGCAGTTAAAGCGTCCTCAAATTGTTGTACAACTTCAGGTGGGGACATATTTGTTAGCATGCATCAATTTATTGAAAACCAAGTGACAGCTCAACAAGTTAATTAGTGTAAACATGAGTAGTTAGGTGATTACCGATAATAGTGATTAGTAATTTGTGTATATAAATAAATATGTTTTCCAGTTTTAAATTTTCAAACTCCACTCTTTACCGCACACATTTCTTGCGGTTCCACCAACATTCGTTTACAGTTGCTCATCCCTATTTTCTCTTTTGTATTTCCCCTCTGTTCCAAACCAAAATGTGAAAACTATTATCATGTATGGGAAACAAAATTATCAAGTTTATAAAACTCTCTTTTTTGGTGGGGGGCACACCCATAGGGCATCTGCAACTAGTACTATACTTACATGACGCCCAAATGGTGTTGGGGGTTCCTACGGGTTACATGGAGGAGACTGGTCGAGAACCTTCAGTTCAAACTATTGCGTGAGTCAATCTATAGGAAAAGGGAATGTAAATATTAGAGTCATTTTTTTAGGAAGGTAATATTAGTGTCCTTTATTGTTTCCTTATGTAATAAGGATTGTATGTACTTATATTCAACATTATGGAATACATGGAAGTTAAGCCGTAAAATTCTATT